TTCAATATGCAAAAATACATTTTGTTCTATCTTGTATTGTTTCAGTTTTACAAGCATTTGAACACAGACATGCAAATGGGGCCGGTCTTAAAGGGCTAAAATGAGCAAGCAATTGCCGGTTATTCTTCAAGTTTTATTCAAAATTTGTCTTCAAAACTTCAGCACTTCATCTTTACTTCACAGTAAACAAATCCGAGCGTCTGCGGCCTAAACAGCACCAGAAACGCTCGAGGCGCATGCGCAAACATGGCTCGCCAGCTGTTTCCCTATTAACACATGTCCGTTTAAATTTCTACACTTTTTTGTCTCACACTAAAAAGGATTGTTGAGAAGGCATGTTTGCCGTGGTTATGTCCAATTATACTGATCACAAAGCATTTATTTACTTGCTTTCGTTTTCCTCCGTAAATACCCGTGTCCTCCTGCAGCGATCCCGAGGGACAACGGACATCAATAAGAACACAGTAGAAAGTCTGACGTGTTGTAAAAACTGCTATTTTTAGCACATTTTAAGTCCGACGTGTTGCTACCAGACGCACAGTGAGAGCTGAAACGGAGCGCTACAAACGAAAAAGTCGCAGTGTCCGCAGAATATAACAAAAATTACAGGCCGAAATGCATTATCTTGTAGAGGCTCGAGTCCGCTTGCAGAAGAGACGTTTACATGTGGATGTTTCCTGGTCAGGTGCTGCAGCATGGAGGATGTGGTGGTGTGGTAGGCTACATCCATTTTACAGTGTTTACACTGGACTACGTTTTCCGCCTCACGACGTGAAAAATGCTCCCACATCTTTGACATTTTCTGTCTTTTTCGCTCCACCGGGGTCCACGTTGTCCGCCGTTGCTTAAGAGAAAGTTAAGTTACATTCGCTACTCGCGTGTGCATTCAGTGCAGTGTGTATGTGCGTCACTTATTTTGGTCCGGGTGAAACATGACCCGGGCGATTGCTAAGCCATGAATTAATTAAACATGAATTAAACGAAGGGAAGCTCAGATGCGCCTGTCTCGGAAACGAGCAGAATTGTCACAGAGGAGAGTTAACATGGCAGCATTTGAAGTCTCATTTCCTGGTAGACATCTTGTCCCTGATTGGATAACAGCAACATGACTCCACCACTGACTCTGCTTGTATTGCTGATGTTTTATCTCCACAAATAACAAAAGCCTGGAGGAGCTCTGCTGTGTGGCCGGGCTGTCAACTTTTGCCTGGAGGTGGTGGGGTGGGGGTGTCATCAACCACGATGAAGTAAGTTGGACTTGACAGAGATTCGCTCCTGCTTGACTACAGTCAGCAGAGCGTCTTCATGCCATGCGCTGCGCCAGAGAGTCGACGGTCAGCTGTGTTCCTCGGACTCGCTCATGACAGTGGAGGTCCGCTTAGGGACCGTCAACAATTTCTAGTCATTTGAGAGTGCATACAAAAATCTAAAGCTTCAAACTTAATTGATGAAATAATTCAAAATCAGTTCCCAGTTGGATTACTACACAAAACCAACGAGACACAACATTTTAACACATATTTCATACAATCGGATCTTTTTTTATTATTTACATAAAAATTAGGTGAATTTTTGTGGCACTTTTTGTATTTTGCTTCAATAGCCTCCATGCTTAGTGACCACATGACTGAACATCGATTCCCAGTTGTGGTATTTAATTAAACCAGTGAAAACAACAGTTTTTACAAATTTCATTGAGTCAGGTTTTTTTCTAATATTTTCATAATAAATAACTCGTTTGTTTTTATTAGCTTCCAAATAATATGATCAAATGACCCCAAATCAATTCCCAATCTATTCCTCCCACTCCAAAGGAATCCCGTCCGAAAGAGGGACGTGTTTTATTACTTGGTAGTTCCAAACTGCCACCTAGGTAATTGGTTTTGAGTAACTTATCATTGTACCTGGAAGACTTTGAAGAAAATCGTTTATTTTTTAAAGTCTAATAAAAAAGATCAGATTGTATGAAATACATTAAAACTGTTGTGTCTCATTGGTCTAGCTTGGCAACACCATTGGGAATTGGTTTTGAAGATTTTTAACAATTTATGTGGATGCTATTAAAGGCAAAGCACACATTTTAATTAAATTATTAATAAAAAAAGATCAGATTGTATGAAATACATGTTAAATAATATTGTTCATTGTTGGTTGAGTTTAGTAACAAAACTTAGATTTGAATCTAGATAATGTCATCAATGAAGCTGGAAGCTTTTGTTTTTTTTTTACGCATTTTTAAATGACTAGAAATGTGTTGATGCTGGTTAAGCAGACCACCACTTCCATGAGCGAGTCCTCGTAACACAGCTGACAGCGCGGTGCATGGCGTCAAGACTCATCGCTGACTGTGGTGAACCACGGAGCAAATGTCTGTCGCAGACCCAATGTCCAACTAACTTCCCTGTGGTGCTTTTACAGTGTGAGAAACCGGAGGTGTGGCGGGAGAGTGTGTGAAGTGATCAGGTGTGACTGTTGGCAGCCCTGGTGTGGTGGAGTTGCTAATGCTAATGGTTAGCTTCTATTAGCAGAGACGTTCTCTGCCGTTTGCTGGAAACCAAACCAACAGCAGCCTTCCCTGGCGTGAGTCAAGATGGGCGAGTCCATGACTTAATTCACAATGTGACACAGATCCATCAAGCTTTTCAAGTCCTAGAGTTTTACTGTCTATTTTCTATCAGAAGCTAATTAGGAGATAGGTGTAGGAGACTACTTTTTGTTCAGCCTGCATGAAAAACTCAGAGTGACTGATTATAATCAGAAATTATATTTTAAAACTTAGTTTTTCAGTGTTTCACGCCTCTACCAGAACCCATTCTTTGTTCCCAGAACTGAGGAGGTCCAACACAACGTTGTAACCTTGGTTTTCTGGACGTTTCCATGTAGTTTTTATTTTTGTAATGATTGACAGAACACATTTATTTATTTGAAACAAGTTCCTGAACATGGAACAAAATGATTTTTCAGCTCTTTATTTGGGACTGTTTGCGTTTTATAATTCTGTCCCAGAGAAAATGCACCTACAGCTGTTTTAAAATGACAATTTTCCAAATAAAGCAAGCATGGAAGATTTCAAAAATACAAAATCAGCTATTTTTTTGTAAGTACAAAATGCTTTTAGAGCTGCTTTTTACCTTCAGTCTGGTTCTGACTGAATGTTTGAAGCACAAATGTCATTCTTGTTGTTTTTATTACAGCAACAAGATTCCCAGACTACAAAAACTGCTTCCATATTCACATCTATTATATATTATCAGAAACATCCCACCTGTTAATCCGTGCCATACCTGAGCTTAGGTTACCCTGATGGGAGTTTGTGTCTTTTACCTTTCACTGCAGAGGCAGACATCGCCACTGAGCTGCTCAACTCGACATCTTTGCCCTTAAATTAGTCCGGGGGCTTCATTTATCGAACACTCGTAGAAACTGTCCTAAATTCCCTCCTTCGACCGACATTTAGAATGTGTGTACAAACACTCAAAAGACTGATTCATGAGACGTGCCGTGGCCTCTCGTACGTACATTCCTCCTCAATTGTCTGATTGTGTGGAATGACCTTCCAAGCACTACCAGAACAGGAGCTTCCTTTTCAATTTTCAAGAAACTCCTGAAGACCCTGCTCTTCAGAGAGCATCTTCTAAACTAGCACCCTCCCTGCACCCGTCCCCCCTCTCTACTGTCCACTCCTTGTTCCCTCCTCTCCATGATTGATGTCAAGTTGTTGTTGTTATTGTTGTTGTTAGCCTCAAGGGCAACATGCCGATTATCACTTGTAAGTCGCTTTGGACAAAAGCGTCTGCTAAATACATAAACATAAACATTTATAAACATTTATCCCACTTGTGCTTACTTCTTCTTCTTCTTTTGTTTAAATGGTGGGTGGGATCCAACTTAAGGTGCATTTCCGCCACCTACTGTGTAGGAGTGTGAGTCAGAGTGAGGAATACCCTAAAAATAAACTATATCCACCTGTGCGTACCCAGGTGCTCGTGTCCATTCAGTCATTTACATACAGAAACATCCTCAATTAACCATTTTGGTCACGCTACGACTTCGATCAGCACTTGAGGAAATTCCCTGTTTTTTCCCCAGAAAAAATAAGAAAAACTTTATTGACAACAAGATCGAAACACTGGCTGTGAAGCGCCAAAAAAACGAACAAGTTGAGGAGGTTATAAACGCGGTCGAGACGGAGGAGAAGTTCCTGTCAGAAATAAATAAAAAATGGATTTGATAAATGGTAGAGCAACAGCTTCTCATTTACATTTAAGGAGTCGTTCTGTTCGAAGTTAGTTTCATTTGGACATTGTCTGAGTGAAGCCTCAGCCTCTTCTGAGTTGTCCTTCAGTCTGGTTGCGTGTGTGATCGGGGAGCAGGAGGAGGTTCTGGGCGGTTCTCGTAGTTAGTGGAATCGGATTTGTGAGGTTCTTCTGTTGCACCACAAAGGGTCCCAAATCACAGGGTAGCAGAAGGATTTCCCAACACGTTCCTAACGCGTTCCCTGACTTCACACCCTGTTAACTCCTCCACTATCACAGATCAGCCATGATATAATGTCAGATTCTCGTCGTTGTGTGTCTTTTTTTTGTTTTAACACCAATTAAGTGCAAAAGCCATTTTTCCACCGACGTAACTACATACTGGGTAACTATAATGTTTGGATGAGTGAGACCTTTACTACTGTGGTTCCTCTGTTCTACCACTAGATGCTGTTCCCGCGCATGGTTCTTATATTAGGAACATTTTCATGCACAAGTACAAATTGGTAAATACCACCCAATGTGCATAAGTACGGTTGATAAATGAGGGCCCAGATTTTTAGCCAATAAGAAAATAATGAATGCTCTAGTATTCTGGTCTGAATTTAGCTCAATGACCCTGGAAATCAAGCTTTTCTACAAAACGTCTAAACTTTTCAATTTTCTACCCGCTGGTGAGATGACGTCCTTACAGGATCGCTCAAAGTTTATTAAAGTGAAAGTTCTGGTTGTTTTGTCTTTCAGGGCGACTCCATGCGGACCAACATCCAGCTGGAATTCGGCGATGGCACGGCCGTCTCGTACTCCAACCTGAGCTGGACCGAGGAGGGAATCAAACACATCTACAAGTCCGCAGGAATATTTCGTGTCACGGCGCTGGCAGAGAACACACTGGGCTATGACACTACCACGCTGTTCCTGCATGTCACCTGTAAGTTTCCCTGAAAACAAACTCACAGACCTGTCTGCAGGTTCAAACCCTTCTAATAAAATCGTTGTTTATGTTTATGTTTATGTATTTAGCAGACGCTTTTGTCCAAAGTGACTTACAAGTGATAATCGGCATGTTGCCCTTGAGGCTAACAACAACAACAACAACAACTTGACATCAGTCATGGAGAGGAGGGAACAAGGAGTGGACAGTAGAGAGGGGGGACGGGTGCAGGGAGGGTGCTAGTTTAGAAGATGCTCTCTGAAGAGCAGGGTCTTCAGGAGTTTCTTGAAAATTGAAAAGGAAGCTCCTGTTCTGGTAGTGCTTGGTAGGTCATTCCACATTTGTGGAACGATGCATGAGAAGAGTCTGGATGGTCCTGAGCGTGGTGTAGGCACTTTTAGCCGATGATCCTGTGATGACCGGAGCGGTCGGGGCGAGACGTAAGCCTTTACAAGAGGATTCAGGTAGATGAGAGCCGTACCATCTCGGACTTTGTATGCTAGTGTTAGCAATTTGAATTTGATGTGTGCTGCTAGCGGTAGCCAGTGGAGCTCAATGAACAGAGGGGTGACGTGTGCTCTTTTTGGCTGATTGAAGACCAGACGCGCCGCTGCGTTCTGGACCATTTGAAGAGGTCTCACAGTACAGCCTGGAAGACCAGTTAGAAGAGCATTGCAGTAATGGAGGCGGGAGATGACAGTAGATTGCACCAGTAGCTGGGTGGCATGTTGTGTTAGGTATGGTCTGATCTTTCGTATGTTATACAGCGCAAAGCGGCATGAACGAGCAACAGAGGCAACGTGATCTTTAAGGTCAGGTGTTCATCAATCACAACACCCAGATTTCGAACTGCCTTTGAAGGAGCCAGAGATAGGAAGTCAATTTGGATTGAGATATTGTGCTGTATGGATGGTTTTGCTGGGATGACAAGTAGTTCAGTTTTAGAGAGGTTGAGTTGGAGATGGTGGGATTTCATCCATTTTGATGTCAGAGAGACAGTTTGATATTCGTGCAGAGACAGTGTGGTCGTCCGGTGGAAATGACAGATAGAGCTGGGTGTCGTCTGCATAGCAGTGGTAGGAGAAGCCATGTGATCGAATGATCTCACCCAGTGAGGTGGTGTATATGGCAAAGAGAAGAGGTCCTAGTACAGAGCCCTGGGGGACTCCTGTGGCAAGATGTTGCACGGTAGAGGATTGTCCAAGCCAAGATACACTGAATGACCGTCCTGTGAGGTATGATTCAAACCAGGCGTGTGCTTTCTCTTAGATGCCCATGCTAGAGAGTGTGGACAAAAGGAAGCCATGGTTGACAGTGTCGCATGCTGCCGATAAGTCGAGCAGGATGAGCACTGAGGATTTGCCTGTCGCTCTAGCTTCTTTTAAGGATTCAGTCACTGCTAACAGAGCAGTTTCAGTGGAGTGGCCCTTTTTGAACCCAGACTGGTAATGGTCAAGCAGACAGTTTTGTGAGAGGTATTCTGTGATCTGCTTGAAAGCCACCCTTTCAATGATTTTGGACAGAAAAGGGAGGAGAGAGATAGGTCGGTAGTTCTCCACATGATTTGGAGGAAGAGATGTTTTTTAAGCAGCGGTTTAACCTGAGCATGCTTGAGAGATGTGGGAAATGTACCGGATGTCAGTGAAGTGTTGATCACATGTGTGACTGCTGTGGCTACTGTAGGAGCAATAGCTTGGAGCAGCTTAGTCGGAATGGGGTCAAGTGGGCATTTAGTAGGGCGGCTGCACGTGAGAAGCTTGGACACACAGTTCTCAGTGAGAGGGGAACAAGAGGAAAATGAAGCAGTAGGGCCTGAGATGGTTGGGCTAGAAGGGGTTTGTGGTAGTGAATGTTCAGGAGTGGCCAGTTGAGTAAACTGTTTGCTTATAGCTGCCACTTTGTCAGTGAAGAATGAGGCAAAGGAGTCAGCTGATAGATTGTTGGTAGGAGGTGGAGACGGAGGGGTGAGCAGAGTTTTGAATGTTGAAAATAGTTTCTGAGAGTCAGTAGAGCTGAGAATTTTGTCAGTGTAGAAAGCTTTCTTTGCATCAGTGATGCTGGCAGAGAATGAGGACAGTAATTCATGAAATTTCAATAGATCACCAGGATCTCTTGTTTTGCACCATTTCTGTTCCGCAGCTCTAAGATTGGTGCGTAGAGACCGGAGGGCATCATTTAGCCAATGGTGTGACTGAGAGGATCTAGCAGGTCTAGTGGCTAAAGGACACAAGTTATTAAGACAAGAGCAGAGTGTGGAGCAGAGTGACTCGGTGGCTTCATTCACTTCATAAGCAGAGAATGTGCTGGGAGATGGAAGAGTGGAGGCAACAAGAGAGGAGAAGTGGTTGGGTGCCAGATTGCGGAGGTTGCGGCGGAATGAGACCACTGGGGAGGAAGCAGGGACCTCCCTTGTAGAGTCGTGCTGAAACGGATGAAGTAATGATCGGAAAGATGCAGCGGTGTGACAGAGATTGTGTCTATGGCGCAGTTTCTGGTGAAAATGAGGTCAAGTGCTTTTCCAGCTTTGTGAGTTGGAAGACTTTGTACTAGTTTTAGATCAAATGATGACATTAGTGACAGGAAGCCTGATGAGCTGGGATTGTCCAGGTGAATATTCATGTCTCCAAGGACCTTTGTGGGACAGTCGTGCTCAGGAATGGAGGAAAGCAGGGTGTCGAGCTCATCAAGAAAGTCTCTGAGTTGACCTGGTTGGCGATATATGACAACCAAAAATAATTTTTTTGGTACAGTTACCTGGATGGCATGGTATTCAAAGGAGTTGTATTTAGTGATGGGTAGCAACTGACTGTGTATCCATCTATTGGAAATGAACATGCCCGTTCCACCACCTCGGCCAGATGCACGTGAAGTGTGGGAGAAAGTGTGGTTAACTGAGAGAGCAGATGGGGTAGCATTGTCACATGGTTTGATCCAGGTCTCAGTGAGAGCCAGTGCATCACCAGAATAAGCTCTTCCTCACTAAAGTTCAGGTGTTTGAACCTGCACTTGAAGTTTTACTCATCATCCTGCCTCCTCCGTTTCTGTGAGAGACAACCCTCTGATTCCAGGCAGCAGTTTTTCAGACTCCAGCTTTGTGTTTGCGTCTCAGAAATGAGTGATGCAGGTTTTGGGACACGCGCATCATCATTAATGGTTTATTTTCCCAATAGGAACAATTACAAAACAGGAAATACAGGAATTGGAAGAACAAGGCTGACCTAATTTTGAATGTTCCAAAATTAAACATTAACATTCCAATTTACGTCTGGCCAGGAAATAAGGTCATACACTCTAATGTTTCAATGCACCACCTTTCACTTTTAATTACACCTGACCAACAAAACTATCGTCTAGATTACAGGAACCCAGTTTGGACCAAGGAACCAAAGAGGCTCACTCCATCTGGATGCAGCTGGAATACCAGGATCCATTTTCACAGTTAACCCAGTGTTCCATCACCATGGACTGAAAGGAGTATGAAAGAAGCTCAACTGTTCACAAGTAGGACAGAAATATTAGGGTTTTTTTTTCAGAAGAGACAAACACTGACCCATTTACCAACAATAACAAGAATCATATTTACAGGATTCAAAGTGAGTCTTTCAGACCTAAGAGCTTTAAAGCATGGTGGTGTTAGCATCATGCTGTGGTCCTGAATAGAGTTACCTTCAAATGGCTCGGATTCACCTGGAGATCTCAGCTAGATGGTTGAAACGTCCAACAGGACCCACATCACGGTTTCTAAGTGGATAATGTAAGCTAACAGGAAGATTCTGGTACATCCTTCTGAAGCCCAAAATGGTAAAACTTTACCAAGTAAAACCCACATTGACTCAGTTTAAGTCCAATGTCATTCATTCATGTTTGCTTATATCTGAGCCTGCATTTAATGTTTTCATCTTAAGAGAAAAAGAAAAAAAATCCACACTAAATTCAGTTTAGCAAACTTTAGTTTTTTTATTTTATTTTATTTTATTTTTTAAGAACCACAACAGAATTATCTCACCAAGAGGAAGAAATTCACATCAGTCATCAAACTTCCAGAATTAGTGAAAATTATTCCCATGATTCTGCTCCTGGGGGAGTGCCACAGGCTTCGATTCTGGGTCCGCTCTTTTTCATTCTGCGTCCTCCCATTGGGCAAGAGGTTAGCTAAACAGGGCATGCATTACCACCTTTATGCTGTCAGATTTATTTGACTCTAAATCAAGCTAGCTCTACTCATCTGCTTCTCAACTGTCTCTCAGGAGTTTGTTTCCAGTTTCCTTCGGCTCAGCGACAAGAAGGCAGAGGCAATTATCTTTAACCCAAAAGACAATCTGTACACATCGGCTGCTTCCTCTCTCCCTCCCTAAACCTCACACCCCGGGTCACCAGCTTTGGGGTCAAACTAGATGTTGATTTGACAATGTCCTCGCAAATAAATGCAATTGTAAAACCTCGAGTCTTCCAAATTTGCAGTCTGACATATTTCAAACCCATCCTAAAGACACCACATATTTATCACCACAAAACTACGCTACCTTGGTCCTCATAAGTATAACATATCCTCCCTCAAACATGAATAGACAGTTCAGAATGATGCAGCAGGATTCCTGAGAATTTCTCACAAACGATGCCACATCACACCCACCATGGCTCCCAGTGCACTACCAGGTGCAGTTCAAAGTTGTAACCCTTGTCTACAAATCTCTCAACAGTCAAACTTCCTCCTTCCTGTCTGAGCTTCTCACCCCCTACCTCCCCTCCACCTTCCACTCTACATTCCTAAAAAGCATTACGAATCTCATGGGAAGCCAAACTTTGGAACACACTCCTTTGATCTGTGAGACAGTTCAGTATGAACCCCGTTCAAAAGCACATCACCCTTCGGTTGGTGAGCCTCTCCTGTTGTGTATGTTTTTATTCTATCCTGTGCCCTGTCTCTGGTTTTGGTATTATGGCCTATGACATGTGCTGATTTGATTCTCTGTCTTGGTTTTTATTTGTTTTAACTT